TTCTTTCATATTGTGGAAGTTTTTTTCAACATGATGGATTTCTATAGTAATGCTGTATTGTATTTAATTTATTGAATATTCTCTTATAATTTATATTACAAGAATTTTTATTATTTAACCGGTTTCTTTTAAAAATTATCCATTCAAAAAGTTTGATTCTTACCAAGTTATTTTTAAAATATTTTTCATGAATAAAATAACGTTATAAATAACAGAAAAAAAGAAGAACTTTAAAAATAACTAAAAAAAAAAGAATAAATAATAATTCAATGAACAAAACAATTCTTAACACTCCACAACCACCAGTATCTGATTATTTAGAATGGGTTACATACTCAATATTAGTTCATGAAGTTGATGAAAAATTTGAAGGAGTAAGAGAGAAATTAAAACAGTCGTTAGCTGAATCGTATGGAACAATTGAAGGAGTAGAAGAGAAAAATTTCAAAAGTATGTGTGTATCGAATGCCATTCATATTTTAACACAGAGTAATTATAAAAACGAGGTAATTCAATATTCACAAAGATGTGATTGGCCATTATTACATTTATATATAATATCAAACAACGATAATGATGGATTAAAAAAAATTAGAACGATTATAAGAGATTGTACAATTAAACAAATTCAAATTGTTGTTATTGCAATTGGAGGAGAATTAAGAAATAATAAAAGATTTAATAATGAATCAGCTGAAGTAAAATCTTTTTATTTACAACCACAACTACCTGATTGTGATGTACAAATTAAAGAATTATTAAGTATTATAGCTAAGTCAGTAGTAAATAATTATGAAGTATATTTAAAAGAATATGAAGAAGAAATTAGTATTAAACCAAATAATAAATACCTTGAAGAAGCTAAAAGATTTGCATCATTATGTTTTGAAGCATCTATTCTTTCACAAAAAGTAGGAGATTATACTAAAGCAGTTCATTTTATTAAAATGGGACTTGGTCAATTAGATGTTGCAGGAACAAGTGTTGATGAAGATATTAAAATATTAAAAGATAATGTTGTTAATTTAAAAGAAATTAATTTTAAAAGAGAATTAGAATTAATTACACCACAAAGTGTTTATACAGCATATAATAGATTAGAAGCATTTATTCTTATGATTTATAGAATGATTGATTTATATTCTAATCAAAAAAATTATTCATCTCTTTGTATAAGATTTAATCAAGTACTTGGAATGATGGAGAAATATTTAGAAAGAGTAAATAAAAATGGAATTACATTACCATTTTTATATAAAGAATTATTTATTATTGATAGTTGTAATTGTTTTTTAGAAAATACTTTACAGTCATTAAGTCATTTTAAATCTACAGATATTATTTTTATTTATATGTATAAAATGTTTACTATTAAACATATTGGTGAGACTTGTTTTACTTTTGATTGTTCTCCAGATTTTATTCATTTTGATATGGACTTTGTTCATAAAGCACCTCCATTACCTGAACAAGTAGAATTACCAAATTGTAAGAATTCTATTTTACCTGATATTATTAAAAAAAAAGAAGTATTTGATAGAGAATTTGAATTAATTTTAAAGCAATGCATTGAATTAACTCCAATAAATTATAATAGAAATGGAACTAATTTTCTTTTTAAAAAATTACTTGGATTATTGTATTTTGAATTAAATAGAAGAGATGAAGCAAAAGAATTATTTAAAGAAATTATATTATCAAGTACTGCAGATGATATTACTAAATGTTTTTGTTGTATTCCTGCATTACAATGTAATTGTGATAATACTTTACTTTATGCAATATATATATTTTTATTAACTTATCATAGAGAAGATATTACTTCTGTTTATAAAAATGTATTTAAACAAAATAATGATATACTAAAAATTATTCAACAGTCTACTATTTATTCACATTTAAATAAACTTCTTTCTAATTGTAAAGAAAATATAAATCTTTGTATTCCAGAATTTATTCATTTCTTTTCAATTAATGTTACACAAGGACATGTACAATGTTCATTTGAAAGTAAATTTAAAGAAGAACTAAAAGAAGTTAAAATTGAATTATTATATAAAAACAAAATAGGAGATTCTTCTTCAAATATAAATAATATAACAATAAATCCACATGATATTATTAGATTAGATTTTGATTTAAATCTTGTTGGGTTAATCACTTTAAATCAAATGAATATTTATTTAAGTAATTATTTATCAATAACTATTCCTATTAATCAACAAGTAATGGTTAGAACAAGTAAACCTCAATTTACTTTTGCTTTACAACCACCAACATTTATTCCTTTATATTTAGAAGATTGTAAAC